CCCTTCCCCCGCCCTGCCGAGGTAGACAATCTAATGTTCAGAATTAAGATTTTTATACATAGTATTAATGCACACATTGTTATGAAAGGGATTTTAACCCTATTTTAAACAAAGATAGTTCTCAATATCAGCTTTAAATGGGTGCTACAAAACAAAGCCTCTTCTATAAGGGGAGAGCACAGATACTTTAGAGGAAAAACAATGGTGTGTGTCATATTTTTCAAATGATTGACTTGAAATGAAAATGCATGTAAATTGCTTTACCCGTGTAGTATCATGGATATGTGTATACAATCGGACACACAGTTGCCTATGATAGATGTATAATCATTTAAAATGTTTGTTTTTCTAGATTAGTGGATGATAGATGTGTGGTTCAGCCAGAGGCAGGGGACCTCGCTAACCCTCCCAAGAAGTTCAGAGGTAAGTTACTGAGGAGAGTTGTTTAATATGCAGGGGCTACAACTTGATGTGTAGTCCACAAAGTGTGATCTACATTACAGTCTTTTAGGCAAATGTCTGGAGTACAAGACAATGAGAGTTCCAAAATCTGCTGATGCTCTAGGTCTGGACTACTATGGAGCTTCAGTCTGCTAAGTGAAAAATAAGTGTGCAATGTATGAACAGAAACAACACTAAGAATAGTTGGAAAATATGGGAAGAGGCGTAAGTTTAATTTACACTGGGTGCATCTACAATGTACAATTAACACAGAACCAATGCTCTAAACATAGCATGGAGCAATAAACTCTGGCACATATTGCACCGCAGTTTTGCTTACAGGTGCCATGTTTGAATTTGTGCCCAGGACTGTAGCACGTTGAGCTGGGTTGGAGCAGCCCCAGCTGGCAGGAGGCCCAGGGGTCAGCCTGCAAGCCCAGGCTCAATGTGCTGTGGAGGGGCTAGCAGGGGCATAAGGGTGCTCCATTGTGGGGCTTGCCACCCCTGCACTGAAGCACCCTCATGCCCCAGTCAGCCCCGTCAGCATCTACGTGTGTGCTGCTATGCACTAAAGAACTCTGCCATAGGATAGTACTTGTATTTACAAGTACTAACCTGTGGCAGAGTTAATTAGATTCCTGTGACCTAATAGAGCTGCATGTGCAGACATTGAGGTTTTACTGTGGAGCTAATTAGGCAACTTTGTGGCAAACATCTCACATACATGTATCCAATAAGGTCCATTTACACTGTTTTGACCATGAAATAGTGTCAAATTTCAAGCTAATTTAAGCTTCCAAAATACTGCAAAGAGGCACTTATTTTAAATGGTAACCAAGGCACAAGATATTTGGAACAACCAGACCTGGTTGATTTTAGTATTTGACAACAGTTTCTGAATTTTTTTTGCAAATATTTTCCTTTGTTTTTGTCCTGCTTTAACTATAACTCCTTTTTTCAATTTTTCTAAATGTACATTCCTAGCTTAATATTTTGGGGGTTTAAATGTTTTTCTTTTTTTGTATTTGTGTGCCATTATAATATGATGAAAGAATAGCACGTGACAAAATGCAATAGCTACCCCTTTAACAGATGTTATTTAAAACATTTTTGTTGCTGCCTGTCATCCATCCTAGTTCTGTGTGCATCTGTAGGGAGAAAAAGAGAAGCTTTTAAGTCAGTGTCCACACTTGAAATTACTTATGATTGCAGTGATCAGTGTAGCTGCACCAAAATGTATGATATGTCTGATATAGGCAGACAAGGTTCTTTGGGTGAATCTGATATCTTTTATTAGACCAACTTAAATAGTTGGACTTTTTTTTTTTAGCAAGCTTTCGGATTTAAATGCCCTTCATTAGGCTGAGGAAGTCTCTGCAGTTGGTGTGTGCTCTTCCTGGATGGAATGAATAGTAAAGAAGCCAGGGGCTAGTATACATACAAGATAGGCAGTTAGTGAAGATGTAAATTGAGGAGTCACTGGGTGAGAGACGGGCTGGGTGGGGGGGAAAAGGGGGATGAATGTAGCAGCTAAATAGTGGAGAGGTACCTGGGGAGTCAGATGTCAGGCAGTTTAATGTGTCATAAATCCAAGGTCTATATTTAGTCCATGATTTTTTGTATCCAGGAGGTTGATGAAGTGAAGTTCATAGGCTCGTCTCTGAGCAGTGTTTTGTAAGTGTCTTTTGAGGATTAGAACTGAGAGATTGGAGAGGGAGTGGTTTTCTTGTGAGAAATCTGTCCCCACAGGTAATTAGGTATTCTTGTCTTTGATAGATATCTGATTGTTTGGTCTCTCCTACGTATTTTTCATCAGGGCATTTGGTGCATTGTATGAGATATATTATATTTCTGGAGGTGCTGCTGTAAGATGCAGGGATACTGATGGCTCTGTTGTGGGGTGTAGTAATTGTGGGGGTGGTAGAGATGTATTGGTAGGTTTTGCATTTCTTGTCATGGCACGGTCTGGATCCATTTCGTATGTTCTGGGCCTGAGGAAGTTTGCTTCTGGTGATGAGTTTAGTGAGGTTTGGTGCTTGTTTGAAGGCTAGGATGGGTGGTTCTGGGAAAATCTCTTTAAGAATAGGGTCTCTTTCTAGTATGGGTTGTAATTATTTGAGGATTTTCTGTATGGGTTTGAGGGAGGGGTGATATGTCATAACCAGTGGTGTGCGATTCATGGGGGGTTTTCTTCTGTACTGCAGAAATTCTTCACGTGGTATCTGGGTGGCTCTTTCAAACGTGCGATGTATCTCTCTGGCGGGGTGTCCTTGTTGGGTGAAAGCCTTTTTAAGATTGGTGAGGTGGCAATCCTGGGGGTTCTCCTCAGTGTAGATTCAGTGGTATCTGAGGGCTTGGCTGTATATCACAGCTTCTGTCAGAAATAAGCTTCCATTGACTTCACAGGGCTGTGGAGCAGGCCTCTCTAATTAGGTAGAGAGCTGCAATTTGCATCCTTTGCAGTGGGAGAAACTTCTTTTTGCAAATTGTGGCTTTTGATGTCAGTTCAAGAGATTTGTATTGGCAGAGTTGTTGTTATTTTACTTATAACTTTTATTGCAGTATTTCTATATTGCATGCTAAATACTTCATTGTAAAGTGAATAACTCAAAAGTTAGGAAATACCAGATTTAAACTTGCTATGGCTTAATTCCTTCTTGATGCATCAGCATTAGAATCATAGAATCATAGAAAGAAGGACCAGAAGGGACCTATAAGATCATCAAGTCTGGTCCCCTGCAATGGGCAAGAGGTAATTAGGCTCAAATGAGATCAATGAGGTATTTGTTCAGCCTCCTCTTAAAGATCGCCAGAGATGGTGGCTGTACCACGTCTGCTGGAAGTGTGTTCCAGATTCTAGTTACCTGTACAGAAAAGAAGTTTTTTCTTATGTCTGGCCAAAACTTCTCCTCGACTAGCTTGTGTCCATTAGTCTGCGTCTTCCTGGGGGGGAGGTGTGGCGGTGAGGCACCACCACAGGCTCTCGAAGAGGGGAGGGTAACCCCTGCGGGCCGCATACCCCAGAAACAGATCCCCAGCGGGGATAACTTACCTCCCGCGGGGCAGCCAGAGCAGGAGCTGGGACCATGACCACAGCTGCGCAAACTGGCGCTATGCTGGCTGTTTAATCAGCTGTTTCTGGCGCGGGAAACAGACAGACCAATCCCGGCATCTGTATTGGCCGCCGTGGGAAAGTTTAAATGCCCCACCGGAACTGGGGGGGGGGGGGGGGGGGGGGGGGAGAGCTGGAGAGAGAGAGTGCTGGCAGTCAGCACGCTAGGTGTGCTGTGGCTCCAGCATGGGAAGGGAGTGACACAGCCTGCGCAGCTCCCACAGGCAGCACAAGGGAAACCTTTGAGCCCCCTGCAGGAGGCAGAGCAGGGGAAGTCCTTCAGCTCCCCATGGAAGAGGAGCCAGAGGAAGCCTTGGGGTTCCCTGCAGGCAGCAGGGCTAAGGAGGCATTTGAGCCCCCTAGAGGAGGCAGGGGTAAAGGAGGCAGCTCTGCAGCCCTCTCCTCCTCAGGGGAATATTTCTTCTGAGGATAAAAAACCCTGAGAAGGGGGAAAAGCAAAAGAGACCAGGGGAGGCAGGCCCCGGGCCATCCTATAGGGGTGAAAATCACCGTTTACGAATATCCACCGGGTTGGCAAGTGGATGGGGTGTAGGGGAGGCCGAGCCCCGTGGAACATCGCGCCAAGCAATTGTGAGGAGTGCCAAGCAATTGTGAGGAGTACTGCCGTCGGTCGGTCGGTCGGGCCTCCCGGGAAGATCTCCACTGAAACTCCCCCTCTGGATAGTTTAACATCAAAGTCGTGGCAGGCAAGTTAGGGGAGGGGCTACACACCTGACAGGCCGGGCAGCATGCAAGATGCGAGCGGTCACAGTGGTGCATTGGCTGGGAACCCTTTACATCATCAACGGGACAGAGACCCCTACCTGGGGTTAAGCAGAGATGCAACCGCCAGCAATAGCTCACGCCACGCTACTTACACAGGCAATTCAGGCCATAGGGCAAGTGCTGGAGGTGCAACAGTTACAAGGCGCACACCAGCAAGAGTGGATGCAGCGTAATGTTGCTCTATACAAGATGCCCCGAATGACAAGGGAAGATGATCCCGAGGCTTCTATAGAAGCCTTCAAGAGGACCGCTATCCAGACAGGGCGGGGCCATAGTCAGTGGGGCCACCACCTAGGTGCGCTGGTGATAGATCAGGCCCAAGCCGCCTACCAGGCCCTGTTGAGGGAGGAAGCCCGCGATTATGAGGCGGTCAAGGCGGCAATCTTGTACAGGCTCAAGATCTCTCCGGAAAGTCGCAGACAGGCCTTCAGTGCCCGAAAGCCCAGAGAAGTTAAGTGACCCCGAGGCTTGTTGCAAGCTTTATGGGACTCGCTCAATAAATGGTTACTGGCAGGCAAGTTTGACCGTGAGGGGGTGATGGACCAAATCCTACTAGAGCAGTTCCTCTGGGATTTGGAAGAAGACACCCAGAGATGGGTACGGAGACACCAGCCGCAGACCAGTGAAGAAGCTCTCCACTTGGCTGAGGTGTTCACTAATTCAGAAAATGAAAGGATATGGGCGAGGCTCACGGACCTCGAAGGAGGGCCTGCCGAACGAAGGGGAGAGGTGGACGGGCTCAAGACGAGGAACACCGAGAGGGGTGGTGTGCTATTGCTGTGGGCGAACGGGACACATCTCCTGTGAATGTGGCATGGGCCTGAGCGAGTTGAGCCGCGGGCCAGTGGGATACACACTGCCCCGTGAGAAAGGCAAGGAGACGGAGAAGGGAGAGCCCATGGATTGCAGTTTTGGGTTCACCGCTCAAGAAGGAGGGTGGAACCTCCCCGTTGTAACCGCCTGGATCGGGGGCAAGGCAGTCAGGGCAATGCTGGACACAGGGTGTTCCCAGTCCCTACTCCACATGGACCTCACCCCGCAGATGGGGCGGAAGGACTCTGGACCCCTAACGATGACTTGTATA